GCCTGCACTGTCTCGGGAGAGGAATCTTCGCCCATCACATACCAGAGGTGCCCATTGTCTGCATCTTCCCAGGTGTGAATTATGCTTTGCACCCTTCGTGGGAAACTTGGCATTCAAAGCCATTTTTCCTGATTGGCCACTTGAGACCAGGAAGAAGCCCATGTGATCCAAGGGGTATAAAGAGGGTTGAGTTGCCCACCCAATTTGAGCTCCAATCACCTACACCTGCTGGCAGGTATTGATTGTCTCCCGAGGTCCGTGGGACGCCCAACCTCGCCCTACTTCTTCCCGAGGGATTGAGAGAAAGACGCTGGCCACGCCAAGTCTGGAACGCAGGGGTGAGAATTGTACCTGCAATGTGTTTTCTTTATGTGTACACTCTAATTGTCTCTCTGTTGTAAGTTAGTTACTTTATTATAGTTTTCTTAAAGTCAAACTGCTTCATTTCTATTGTAAATCACCTTTGGTAAGGTGATTTAGCTATAAACTTTGGGAACAAGTGGGGTGCCCTCATTCACTTATAAAATATATATATATATATACACTGAACCAAGTTTCTTTATTTCTTTTCTCTTTCTTTCTCCTATAAATAAGCCAGTGAGTGTCAAGCTTCTGACTTGAACCCGTGCTGCTGTACCCGAACCGAACACAAACAAAAGAACTTCAGCCGGTCATAAAGGGACAGTTATAGGAAGAGCTTGAGCGTTTGGATCTGTGTCACTCCCAGGTGACAGGGTTCACTGGGGCACTTCTCAGCCTTTCCTGGGCTGCCCGCTGCGAAGGAATTATGAATTCTAGCAGCTAAAATCTGAAGTGTAATAAGCTCTTCCTGTACACACTGGGGCGTCTGTTAGCCTGTTTGGCTACCCTCTGCGACGGGACCTCGGTCCTAGCAGTAAAGTCACGAACGTTAAACTATTTTTCGGGGCGCCCTCCAGCCTCCTAGGCTGCCCGCTGCAATGAGACTTTGTGTCTCAGCAGTTGAAGACTTGGGTGTAACACACACGCACACACTGCCCTGACCGTCGGCTGACAGGGGGCGCATGCTGCTGTCAATGGGGACGTCCGGGGCTCGAGGGGCTGGCTGGCCGAGGATGGTGTGGAGCCGGTGGTAATGGGGGCAGGTGTCGGTCCCTGCCCTCTGGCCCTCGCTGGCCTGCATGTAGTCCAGGCACAGCTCCTTTACTTTCGCCCAGACTTGCTCGAGGGTCCGGGCTGGATGGCCCTGGTGGGTGAGCGCCTGGGCCATGCGGGCAAAGATCTCGGCGTTTTGGCACCGGGACCGGGTGTCGTGGAGGGCCTCCTCCTCCTGCTACAAGTCCAGCAAGGTGTCCAGCTCCCCCGAGGACCAGGATGGGGCTCGTCGTTTTCGGCCCCTGGGGGCCTCCTGCGCTGGGGGTGCAGGTGGCTGATCCCCCCCCCCGGAGCTGCTATCCTGCTGCGGGATGTCTGCTGGACGGCAGGGGCCACGTGGCAGACCTCTGTCCAGAGATCCAAGATGGTCTCCTGCATCTGCTTTAAGGGGTCTCAGGTTACCAGGAAGTCCAGGGAGCCGACTGTGGCTATGGAGTCTGCTAGCATCCATAGGGCTTTTTTCTGTTTAGCCTGCTTTTGCGCAAAACGTCTTAGCTGCCTGTCTACACTGGCCCTTTTGCGCAAAAGGGCTTTTGCCCGAACGGGAATGTCAAAGCATTTGCACAAGAAGCACTGATTTCGGACAGTAGAACGTCAGTGCTTTTGCGCAAAATCAAGCGGCCAGTGTAGACACCTGGCAAGTTTTTGCGCAAAAGCAAGGGCTTTTGCACAAAATCTTGCCAGTCTAGATGCAGCCCTGGAGTATCCTGCTAACGTTTTCCATGATGGATATAAAGAGAAAAAATAAGAAATGGCTGGGGTTAGCTGATCCATAATGGTCTGAACTATTCCCTAGCCTGTTAGCAGTCCCTTGGGAGTGACCCTTTTAGTGTGCTGGGCCTCAAAGACCCAAACAGCTCCACAGAGGCAGGTCCATGACCTCCAAGACTGGGCATTCAGGCACCAGAGATCCCTGTCTCTGTTGCCATGGCTCCTAATCCAGGCTAGTCAGACTCTTGTGGGAGATTTGTACTATACCCTTCATGTCACAATGCTCCTAGTGAGTATTTTCAGTGACAGCAGGCAGCCTTTTCAAAACAAGGTCACAATGTATTAATCACCTGGAATACAGAATCTGAAAGTCTTTAGATTAGCAAAAAGAAATAAAGGTTAAGATATAGGTTATAAGATTAAGACTGGGGCTATGTCTAGACTGCAGAGCTTTTCCGGGATACCTTTGGTATCCTGGAAAAGCTCTGCCGCATCCAAGGAACTTGACCGCTTTTCTGAAAAAAAGTCAGAAAAGTGAACACGTTTTTTCAGCATCTCTGTAAACCTCATTTTATGAGGAAGAAGGGATGTTCAGCAAGAGGGCTTTTTCCAAAATTTGTCCCTGTGTAGACGGGCCAAATTTCAGAAAAGGCTCTTTCAGAAGTAAATCAGAAAAAGATTGTGTTTCTTTTTCCAATTTATCTTTGTAGCGTAGACATAACCCAAGCCAGAACTATCAGACAGTCATGTTGGTATGGCCTCCAATCTAGGCTCTGTCTCACTGTCACTTTATAACATCCAGGTAAGAGCAATTGAGTCTCTCTTGTTCAAAAATAAAAAAAATTCTTATCCTCTTCCTGTTACTTCCAAGTCATTTATTTTCAGGCAGAACCACACCGAGAGCATGTATACACCAAAAACTTAAGTCAGCTGCTGTAGTAATTAAGTCAGTTGTGCATATCTACCTTACACTCCTTGTATCATAAAATGATCAGGTTGGAAGAGACCTCGGAAGGTCATCGAGTCCAACTACAGGTTGGACCTCCCCAAACCAGGACTCCCTCATTCTGCAACATCCATCATTGTGGCCTGTACCAATGCTTGGGATCCTTCCATCCCAAGTGCAGGACTCTGCACTTATCCTTGTTGAACCTCATCATATTTCTTTTGGCCCAGTCCTCCAATTTGGTCAGTGGAGCACTTCTTCACTAGCATCAGTGCAAAAAATAGTGCACTGTGGGTAGCTCTCCCACCCTGCAAGTCACCATAAGGAATTTTGGGAAGGGCTTGCAATGCCTCACGGGGACCAAAACATTTTGTAATGATAACTGGAAAGATTACTTCAATGTCCCATGATGCAGTTTTCTCCTCCCCTGATTTCATCTGCATTCCATAATATTTTGCACCTTTTTTCAAAAGGCTGGCATAGCCATGCACATGCCATCACTACAGAAGTATGTACACCACTCAGTTGTGCACTATTGCTATGAGCACATTGCAAACACTACATGCCTTAAAGTTGCAAGAGGAACCACCATACAAAATATGACAATGTCATTCAAGTAGCCCTGCTGGAAACCGTGGAACAAAACTATTTCCAGTTGCTGTTAGCAAACACACAGCAGCTGAACACGGAGGAGTACCAGTTCTGGACCTGGGAATTATTAATTATTATTATTATTCAGGTATGGGATGATGAGCAGAGGGTG